AAGGCAAAAAAAGATCCCAATGAGCCTCAAAAGTATGTGATTTGTTGATGATTTGAGTTGTTTTGTTCGTTTTGTGTTTATTTTATCAAAACGTTTCATTTCCTTAGTAAACGTTCAGGGTTATTCACATTCTGAAGTTATTGAGAAATCATTCGAATGTGTAATAGCCAGTATTCATTGACGTGGAATAATCAGGAAACAAGAAATGTTGCTGATCTATCCTTCAATAATAAATTCAACGATCTTATTAGTATTATTGTAACTATTATTATTATAACTTTTACTATGATAGTAATAATATTCATAATAACATTTATTTTTATTCATTCATTTCGCCGCATTTCTGACATATCTATTTTTGACATGTTCCTTTCTGAGTTACATAAATTTGCATATATTATGAAGCAGTGAACCAGTTTGATCTTCTCTTTAATCTCTGGTGTTTGATAGCTATGTAATCCTCATATGTGCTCAGTTGTCATCTAATTTTATCAAGACCATTCCATCATAACATTCGTTTAAATATTGTTGCTGTGACAATTGAACTGACAGGATGAAATGATCAGCAATGAAGGATTCTTGCCTAAACCAATAAGAAAAGTGATTGATGATTGCATGAAACTAAATTGCTCAATGAGACTAGTTGAACAGTCGTCAGCTGAAATCGTAAAGCGCATATTGTTTCGAATTGANGTCCTCAGTCTCATTCGATCACCATAATGCTCATCATTATAATCACCAAAATCCCTAATTCTAATCCCAAATTCATCCATCTCTATCTTCCAATCGCCAACAACACCGATTCATTTATTGATTCACACATACACACGTAGATATATCTAGCATATAAATCTTATGTGCACGCACAATATATCCTTATATTGTTGTCAATTACACAATGCAATCCAAAAATCGATCCTAGACATCCTTATCCATTCTAAAATATTTGAAGGCCTGTCTCGGCGTATGCGCTTTTCTTTCGAGACACACAAGCGGCCATCAAAGGACGAACACCGAACGCAACATTCGGTGAGGTGTCCAAAATTGTCGCATCGATGTGGGACGCACTCGATGGCTGCGCTAAAAATGTTTGTTCATTTTCATTTATTCTAGTTTTGTAATTTTCACCTTTTTCATTTGTAAAATTTTCGTTCTTCACTTCTTTACGCTATTCATTTTGTTTCATTTTCATCGCGTTACGATTCACTTCTTCACAACTTTTTAATGGGACATACCGTCACCTTAACACGCATATCCCGAAATATTGCCGTATCATTTCATAAGCGGAATTCTCCATTCACACATTCCAGTTCATCTCATCGCTATCTGATTGTAAATTTGAAAATATTCATTCCCAATCCAATTTGACTACGCATCATCATGTTTTTGCTTTAATGCCTTATTGTATGTTCAATTTCAGTCATACAAACAAAAGACCGAATCAGCTAAACGTGAATATTTGAAGCGATTGGCCGCATATCGTGCCAGTCAAATTTCACAGGTACGTTCGTAGCTTTTTCACACCTCCGCCTATATTCCGGTACATAGGAGATGGCCTATGATATAAGTCAACAGTTTATTTTTGCAAAGGGGAAGAGGGTCTGCACTTCTCCACCGCCCTGGAGAGTGGAAGAAAAATGAAAATGAAGAAAAAAAGAAGGAAAATGACAAGCGAATGGAGAAGGAAGTGGGTAGAAAGACGAGTGGAAAGAAAGGAGGAAAAATAAGCATAAAATTCATAAATTAAGAATTCACTGCAAAATTCGGCCAACTTTGGTACCAGGCCGTTTTGCGGCCCACTCTCACCTGGGAAAAATCCTGGCTATGCCACTGGTCTATAGTTTCCGTGTATGCTCAAGTTTCCGGCTATGCGCAAGTTTCCGTCTGAAATTCCAGTATCAAATGATAAGCGATGCATTTTAATGGTAATTCATTTCGAGCATAAAAAATTGCATTTTCAACGTAAATTCCTATGATCAATTATCAATAGATAGTAATGACTAGTAACCTTCCAATTCAGATTTCATCTCACAGTCGGTAGATAATGGAGTCCCATTGTTGTCACTAAATTCTAGTTAAAATTTTAGAACAGTAATGATTTCAGGACAATGCGAATGGCTGTAATGGTTTAGAAAATGCCAATGCGGTTGTGCAGAGAGACACAACGCCCAGATATTACGAGCCACAATCTGTGCCCAATGCCACAAATCCCACTCAAATTGGTGATGTGTCGTTAGCCAATTTGATCGCCTTACCTCCGGTCAAACAACAGCCCTATAATCCCGGTACACCCGCATTCACGGTGATTTTATCACACACAATTAAAAATTTTTTGTTTGAAATATTCCTTGAAATCATTGAGATACATCAAACTTTTAGTCTAGGTCAGCGATGAAAACTGTTTTCTGTTCAGCAGAATGAAATTTTTTGACTGACTATGAGCCAAGTGAAAGGAAATGTTTTATCAAATGAAGTGTTCGCACCGAAATAGAAAAAATTGCAAATATTCATTCATTTTCTACCTCGGAACTCTTCATTCAAACTTTTTTCAACTCTAGCTTTCGAACTAATAATGAGCGACTTATTATTTTGGTAGAGTAATTAATCAACAATGAATTTTTGCCTACATTCAGGTGGGTGTAAGGAATGACTATGTAGCGAGCGAATGGAACAATGCAAGATGTTCAATGTTACAGCAACCACCTCAAATGACGGCTAATTTTGTTTGAAATTGGTGTCTTTATGTGTGATTATGTGACTGAGACTCTTTATTGTTGAGTTCG